TGGAGCATCATCTGTTTGATTTTGGTGGAATTAGAGCTGTTAGGAAGTGGAAGTTGAGCTGTGAGCCCACAGAAATTCCCCCAAGTGCTTGCTTTGTAGTAACAGTGTTAAAACAAGGACACATCTTTTCTGAATGGTAGAAGAGCCCAGACTAAGCGTGCTCTGCATGAGCAGATGTTTACAGACTTGCTTGGCATAAACACTTTTCTCACAGGGTTTCCCCAAGGTACAGTGATCAGCAGCCCTTCCTAGGTGCTCGCTGTGCTGAAATGACAAGAAGAGGATGGGAAAAAAAATTCCTGTGTTTTCAGGGCCTTTGCTACTGCCTGGAAAGCATATACTGCTTGAATTTAGATACCCACCTTCAGAGGTCCCTCTTACCTGAGTTCATGGGAATAAGTGAAGGCTGTGAAGTTTTGTAAAAATTACTGGTTTACACAAGGCAGTACCTGCAGTGTCTCAAGTGACCGCCACTGCAGAAGCAGATTAACTGCGTCCTATAACCCTGGAATTCAAACACTTCCTCCTCTTTCCAAAGGCCTCCTCATATCTTTAGCAGGTTGCTTTTATTTACTGCTCCAAAATACACCTTCCTCTTGCTTCTCCTGATCTGCCAACTTCCCTTGCTGTGAATTCTTTCCCAAACATATTTAGTAGTGGGTGGCTGCAGACCATAGCGATTTTTTGTGTGCTACATAATATTACAGTATTCACCCTTTCCCAAAGTTTTAAATGGTGTTCAAGACTTCCCATGCTTTTTTATATCTCGTGGCTAGTTAATAAATTAATAGTTTCTAAATTCAGTTTCTTATTAACAAAATTGAATCTAATATTAAGGATGCATTCTCATTTTAGAGTTGATTACCATCATTGTGGTTAGTGTTACATCACAATTAACTTTGTTTTTAATCATTAAAAGGCTAACAAGCTCATTTTACAGCACTTTTATTTGGGTTCATAAAAGCAAAAAAGGAAGATCCGATAGGTGTCCTGTATTTACAAACTGCAGAAACTTTCTTTCACTGCCGTTAATAATGAGGGTCAAATTGGTGAACTTTAGGGACAGATTGATGAAGAAATGTTCCTCTTTTTAAAAAGTGGAAAAATCGATAAAATGTCATTGCTACTTCTTTTTGAATTAGAGCAGAATCCTTTTGCTGTTTATGGGAATGCTAAACAGTGCCCTTCTCCACTGTATATATTTTTTTTTTAATTCACAAAGTTCCTGAAATTATTTTGTAAAGATTATTTGTCTTGAGACAAATGTGTCCTCAATCTTATGGTCTCAAAAGTAAGGATTTAATGAAGCCCTTGGAAGATCAGTCTTCATTCCACGTACAAGAAAAGGAAGCACCCTCCTTGACATTTTTAGAACTTTTCTGAATTGCAATGAAGTTTTAAGTTAGAATATATAAATTACTGATATTTTAAATTCCAGTCAGTTTTAGTAATGTTTCTTAGGGGTTCTGTTATATTAGCTGAATTTCTCTTTTCATTGAGCCTCCATCTCATGTATAGACCAATCTGCATTCTACATTTGTTTTGTTGTGTACTTGTTTTTATTTCTCAGAGAGAGAGAGAGAAAAGAAAAAGGATTGCTTTTTGAGAAAGTATCTGTCAGTTGTCCTGTAAATGAAGAAAGTGATAATATGTGGTTATATTACCAGCTCTTAATAGAAGAGACTTTGTGATCTTGAATACACACCTCCTCTTGCTAATTAGCCAGTTAAAGAAGAGCAATCTGGTATTAATTCGGGAATAATTTTAATATAGAAAGAAATTTAGCTAGGCATAGATGAGATTGATTTGAATTTTTTTTTTTTTTTAAATAATGCTTCTTTCCTACTAATTTCTAAAAATAACCAAAATATATTCAGTTTTGGGCAACAAGAGACCAGGTGCAGAGACACTCCTCTTCCCCTCAATTTTCTTATGCCTGTTTCTTTTCCCTGGTAACCAGAAGAATGAGAGAAAAGAATCAAAACATAGTGTCCTTTCCAGCAAAATATGCCAGCTGACATTTTAGCTGTAGTGGATATCTACATGCAGGGATAGGACTGTTGTCACCCAAACCAAAGAAGTTGCACCTGTAAAAGGAAAACATTTGGCTAGAGCAAGGAAAAAATTAGTCAAGTCTAAATCTCATCTCAAGGGCTTTTCAATCAATAATTTAATGAGATCATGTGGGAGTTTATATCTTCTTGTCTTTCATTAGATTTTAATTAGATTTTTCCTATTCTCCATTTTGTTGTTACATTCTTCTTGTTTTTATGCAGCAGCACAGCCTTGCCTTCGGAGCTGTGGCACAAATACACCCAAGTCTGAGCAATCCAGACTGCACCTCCACAGTGACTGGCAATTACTTATGATCAACCAACGTTAAAGTGGAAAGGTTCACTCTATTAGGCTTGGTCTTTATAAAAGAGACCACAGAAATTCACCCAGTAATTCCCTCATCAAGCTGAGAAACTTCCATTGATCTTCTGCCTCATCTTGGGTTGCCTTTTATGTCTACTCTCAGTGCTTTACACCTGGCACTAGGTGTAACCATATTTGGACTACCTGCAGCATTTGCATGGTTTTCAAATATTTTGTTTCACCTGCTATGATTATTTATTTATTTATTTATTTCCATTTCAAGTCACATCTCTTTTTTTTTTCCTCATCAGCTTTCCTCCAGCTTTTCTACTTTTTACTTTTCTCCTAGATTCTTTCTGTCACATACCATTTCTGTCAACAGGCCTCATGCGGGCTCTGCTTCCACTGTATAAGATCTGTGTGCTCCTGGATCAGCCTGTGGTACAAATCCAATATGAATGAGGCACGGGCATATTTCTGATGAATTAGCCAGAGTACAGTATTTGGATATATGCCAGGCTTTATCCCAGCTATGGGTAAACAGATGATGTGTATTCGACATAAAATTAGAGTGGGCAGGATGAGCTAAAAACTGATCTGTCAAGACAGATTGAAATTGTACTAAGAATTCAAAATATTTGGAACAAATTTGAACTGACAGACTGAAGTTGTTTTAGTGCTTTGTGTCATATGGCCACAGGGTTTTTGATCTTGTAATAGGCATCTTAAAACAGGTTTGCCATCTTGTCTATTTACAGCCTCAGTAACACTAATGTCAGCAAAGTAATGAACTTCCTGCTATTAAGACCAGAAAGAGTCCTTTGGGTAATTTCACCTGATCCTTGAGTGACCTAGACAATAAAATTTCCTTCATTAATCCACAATGTGTTCAATATCCTTCCGTTATTCTGTAATATCAAGGCCCCATGGCAGAAAATACATGAAGCATCCAGTAATACAATGTTTGGACAACACAGTCAACACATCATCTGGGAAGCACCTGTCTGAGATTTGAACACGGAGTCACACTTTCACACAGAACCTTGGCAAACCTCTTAGCTTAGCAGCAGCCATCCTCAGCCTGGGTCTTGGCTTGACTCCCTGAGGAGTAAGGCACCAGCCATGGATAGGAGACAACTGTGGCTGGTGGTTGCCACACTGGCTAACTCCACTGCCTGCTACTTGCCAGCTGAAATCAGCATTTGGCCACTGAAGTCAGAGCATGTTTGAGAAGGGTTTACAGGCTTGGCACATCCAGGGCTTGTGCCTCAGACAGACACAGGATGGACACATGGCCTAAGAGAGCACCACTGGCCCCTACAGCTGCAAAAGAGAGCGACCTAAGGAAAAGCCCCTCCATTCCCAACAGGGGAAACCCAGTGCTGAACTCTGAACGTTATGACATGAAAGTTTTTCCTGTTCATTTGCGTACCTGCAGATCAAGTATACAATTAGGGGGGAGAGTTTAGTGAGAAAATAAGAAGGAGCACAGACACAAAAATTTATGGAAATAAATCCAGAATCTTTCCTGACACTGAAATCAGATAACAGGTCTTACGTGAAGAGCTAAACTAGACTGCTTCCAACAGGGACACAAGAATCTCTTTGTGAATGAACTGAGAGTGACAAAGATCTTTTTACTTTAAAAAGTTTTTAATAAATAGATAATATCTATTTAATAAATAGATAATATGGAGGACGAAAGACATAGAGCATATGGACTTCTTGAGAAAAATGTTTATCACTTTCTACCCACTTCATTACATAAGATTCAGATTTGGCCAAAGTGTTTATGCTTTTCTCCAAAAATGACAAAGTCACATTTTTGATCTAGTAAACAACCTACCTCTGTGCACGTTCAAATATCACCTCCCAGAAATAAGTTTCCTGTGTTTTTTCACTCCTGTTAGTCCTTCAGCTCCAGCTACAGGACAAATGTGTGTTCTCTTTTCCTGACTCACAGATCTCCAGAATGTGGTTTTTTTATGCAAAACATATATTTCTTTGATATTTTTTAGGTACTGGACAATCAGTCGGGATGGTCCAAATATTTCATATCTTCAAAGCTTTATTAAGGACTTATCCTCTACATACCACTTCAGCCAAGTCACCCCTGAGCAGTAGGAGATGGCCTGGAAGTTATTTATTGCCTGCTTATCATGTTTGTTGTATACTTCTACAAGTTTCCCTCTAATCAGGGCTGTAGTAAGATATCCTAGTACTCAGAATATCTAATAGTTTACCCTTTTAATAATGCAGTTTGAATAAGTATAGAATCATAGAATGGCTTGGGTTGGAAGGGACCTTAAAGGTTATCTTGTTCCAACTTCCCTGCCACAAGCAGCGACACCTTTCACTAGACCAGGTGGTTCGGGGGCCCATCCAGCCTGTCTTTGAACATTTTCAAGGATGAGACATCTACAACTTCCCTGGGCAACATGTTCCAGTGCCTCACCATCCTTACAGTGAAAAAATTCTGCCTAACATCTAATCTCAATCTACCCTCAGTTTAAAGCCATTATGCCTTGTTCTATCAATACATGCTTTTATAGATAGTCTCTCTCCGTCTTTCTTATAGGCTTCCTTCAGGTAATGGAAGATGCAAATAGATCATCCTGAAGTCTTCTCTTCAGGCTAAATAATTCCAACTGGATCAGCCTTTCCATGCAGAAGAGGTGCTCCATCCCTCTGATCATTTTGTTGGCCTCTTCTGGACTTGCTCCAACAGGTCCTTCCTGTACTGGGGACCCCAGATCTGGAATCAGTACTCCAGGTGAGGTCTCACAAAGATGGAGTATAGAGACAGAATCAGCTCACTTCACCCACTGGCCATGCTGATTTTGATGCTGCCCAGCATACAACTGGCTTTGATATTTTTCAAATACTTAAATTCTCAAATAAATAATTCAGTATTAGAGTTGCAGGCACTAAATATTGATTATTCACAGAGAGTTACTACAAAATGGAATTACTTCTGCCTAACTGTGTTGTCAGTCTCTTAAAAACAGGACTGATGGTATGGCTGGGCCTCAAGGGTACCTGCAGTGAAATCACATTTGCTTTGCCACACAAAGGCGGGGCCACCCCAGTGGCCTTGGCAGAGGTCTGAAGTTTCAGTGCTCATCCAGGTTCTCAGGTCTTGAGCTGGAAAGATTTAATGCAACTGCTTGGTCCTTCCTGATTCACTGAAGGAGAGATGAAAAGGGGTAGCCAAAATAAAGCTTTATCCACCCTGCTATGTGCCTTACTTGGGTGAAGTTCAACGAGGCACCTTGAAGCAGGCTTGGCAGGAGCATACACTTCCAGAGGATATCTCCCCTTGCTGTACATGAGCCTGTTGCTGTAAAAACACAGGGATGTTGAGCTGCCATGTCTTGTCCTATCCCAGCACTGAGGCAAGAGTAGGTGATGGGTATAGGTATAAGTTGCTTTAGAGACCTTCCCTTGTGAGTCTTCCCCATCTCCTTGGAAAGCTTTCCTCCAGGCTAACTGCACTCAGGTGCAGTGGCTATGTCCCCCTGCCTTGTCCCCATCCCTCATGGTTCTTCAGGGTATGGCAGTGCAGTAGGGAACCATGGGGGCTCCCTGGGGTGGCAGGGCTGGGCCTGGCATGTGCTCCTGTCCCACCACCTCATCCAGGAGCAGCCAGGGCCACTGGGGCACACTGTCCTGCATCAGGCACCTCCTTAGGGAGGGACAGCTCTGGAAACGCCTTCAGGCAATGACACAGAAATTTGTTCCGTGCCTAACAGTCTTTTACCTGCCTTAAAGCTGTGTGTTGCATCTGTCAACAGTGCTGTCCTCTGAAAAAAGCCTGAGCCCATCTCCACTGTCTTCTGCACCAGACATTTTCCTTAGTTTTGTTGTGACTGTCGTCTCTGTAGTGCAGAGAAGCCACCGTTCCACCTGAGTATCGTGATGCAGGTGACCACCAGATGTTACTGATCCCAGCTGGTATCACCTCCTGGTGTCTCCTGATGTCCCTTTTTCCTGACCTCTATGGCTCACTCACGGTGCTTGCCTTGGCAGACAGAAATTTGACAGTGGCACTGTGAACTCTGCTGAGCTGTAAAATCTGCACAACTTAATTTCATGGGCCTCATCAACAAGTCTTGGTAGTAAAGCAGCTGATTAAACAGTAACTAATCCCCCTTTGTTGTTAAAGGGAAAAGTAGAACAGTAAAACATATTGCATGTTGCCCATCTCCTGAAGTTAAAAGGGTGAAAAGGAAGAAAAGTAAGTAACTATGCTTTGGATAAAAAAGAAAACCTCCTGATCAGAAAAGGAGCGATTTACACATGCTCCTCAAATGATCATGTGAGAGCCAATTTCAAATTAATATAATTTCACACCTACTTCATAGCTCTTTCTTCATTCCTTGTGTACATTTTGAGTCCATAAGTGACATCAAGCAGCTCAATGGCTTCTAGTGGTGAGGAGGAGTTTTGCCTGAGCAGTCTGGGAAGAAGAAGCAGAGAGAGAGGGGAGAGGACCTCATGGTGCTGGTTCTCAAAGGCCAGGTGCTCCTCTTCTGCTTAGTCAGGCTCATCCATCCTAGTGGAAACTCCTTCAATAGTCCTGTATTAAACACAGAGAGTCACCTGTACCTTCCTCCTTGGCAAGGGGTTTTACCTGGTCTGAGTGCCAGGCTTCAAAAGGGCTGCTGCAGTTTCCTCGGGCATGAGAAAAAAAACCCCACACCCAACCTCTTCCAGGATTTTTCTTCTGCTCCATAAAAACAATGGCTTGAGGTGACAGGATGGCATGGAGGGGTGAAAAAGAAGATGATCATGCCATGAGCCCTCTGAACTCTTGTGGTGAACAGCTCTGTGACCCCATCCTGGGGCAGCCCAGCCTGGGATGAAGGTGTCCTCCTCTTCAGCAGCTCCTCCTGAACACTCTTGCCCACTGTGTTTCCTCTGCCTAAACAGGGAAAAAGCATCTCTAATACACAAAGGCAGAAACTGGAGTCAGTTTTTTTGCACAGCCGACTGATGTTTCCAAGCATTACCACCAGAGGATGTACCAAGCACATTTTTTGCTGTATCAACACATAAACATACAAACAGATCAAAATAGCCAGATTTACCAGCAGAGGTAGCATAACTACTGTATCAACACAGCAAGTATCAGTGTAAATAACAGTTCTTGAGAGCAGAGAGAGGGGTAAGGAAGTTACACGCTGTATTTTCTGATGCAATTATCCCAGCTCTGTAGTATTTAATGTATTAAATGGTAAATGCATTTCTGATTTCTTTAATGCATTGCTAATACTGGTAATGTCTAGCCTAGGCCACTTCCAGTATTTAACAGATTTTCTATGAAGGACAGCAGCCATTTTGATGTTTGAATGTTTTTCATTGCAGTAATTCATCTTCTAGATCTGGGGTAGTCAGCAATTTAGGCACCAGACAGAACAGAGTGCTCAAAGAGACAATGGGTACTGGAGTGAGGCACTGCCTCAAAAGCCATTTGAAAAATGGTTGCTATAAAAAGGAATAGTAAGAGGATCAACTGGAGATAATTAGACAGCATTTAAAACTGGTGTTTTAAATGTAATCTTCTCAAAGACAACTGTCAAAGATTTCTTAGTAGTTACACTCTGTATCAACAAGAAAGTATACACTTTTAACTGAAAAAAAAACCCAAGCTGATCTCACCCCGGAATTTTCCCCCTTACTACAGGCACTGACTACTTCTAGGAAGCCACAGATATACTTCAAAATGTACATTCTAAAAGTGTTTAATGTTGTGAAACATTCAGAAATACTCACCCTGCATTAACTGTTTTTAGACTTCATTAATGGTCTGACTCTGACCATTCAGCGCCTGGTTCAGTGACAGAATACCCCATTTAGTGAGAGAATCAAGCCTTGAAAAATATATATTAAAATTATTTGCCATCGTACTCTGAAATAAAGATAATGCATTACAGGAGTTTTATCTTTCGTGGATAAACTGGGCTATGTAATCATGGCCCCATCCTGGAACCAGCTCATTTATATCTCTGTGCTTGTTTAGGCACCAAGTCTCAACAAATAACTCAGGAGTTATTAACTTTCTAAAACAGACTGTTTACTCAGCACATGACCCCTCTTTATTATGATAAACAAACATGAAAACAGATAGATGAAGGAAAGATTCACTGCTCTCTGTTGAAGGCTTCTGAGAAGAATTATTCTGGATATGTGGTAAATTGCAGTTATTTGTTTATTTGAATGGGGCTTGTCAGTATAAAAATTAGCAGAATAATTTCCCTACAGTTACAGTGTTTGCAACATCTGCAATTGCTGCATTAGAGAGCAGTGGATGAACAGAATAATCTTCCATACTGTAAATACATCATGTATTTTCAGCTGTCAGAGTACTAGGACTAATTTTTTGACCAATCATACACATTTTTCATTTATTATTACTATCACTAGTCACTTAATCCTGTCCATTTGAACTCCACTTGCAAGTGCTGGGAAGCTTGAATGTTGTAGTTAATTTGTTTATTGATCATCCAATTATAAGACAAGTACTTTTTATCTCTTCCTAAAGGCAAACAAGCAAATTCTGAGGAGTTTTTCATACTCTGGTATTCTCATGGTCAGTGTTAAGTATCTGCCCACGACTGATAGAAACCCTGATAGACCTGTAACACATCAGGTTTCTGATCACTTCTTCTGAAAGTGGGAAGTCATTCCTTCCCCATCTCTGTGAAAGCAAACAGGGAATTTGTAGCCCTTGGCAGCCCAAGTCCCTGCTCACACTTTGGCCCATGCAGTGCACAACCCAACATCTGAAGTTTCTCACAATACTTTCTTTGAAATCCCTTAGTTCTAAGAAGTTAGGATATAACATTCCTACTCTTGACTGCCTTGAATTTTCTGTTTCCTTTATTTCAATAGCACTAAAGAAAAAAAAAAAACCCACCATAGAAATCTTATACACAACTGAACAAACAAAACCCAATCAACATCTAAGGCACAGAGGAACAGTTCAAATATTAGTGTATTTTTTGTTACAGCCCGACTGCCTGACTCCTCAGAGCCCATTCACTCACTATCTCCAGCATGCTGGTGTAGGGAGGAAGGCATCCTGTGGATACAGGATCCTCTGGACCCAGCTGCACTCCAAGGCAGCCATGGTGGCTAGAAACACTAGGTAAACAGACACCAGAGGCTCCACAGAGCAGACTGGGGAAGAAGTTGCATCTAAGAGCTTTTTTTATGAAGAGGCTGGAGACCCAGGCATGCCTGGTCTAGTCAAGCCATTCCTTGTGATGAAGTCATTGCTGCCACCATGGACCCAGCTGTAAAGTCCCACACCTCTGGTGTCTGCACCTGAGCCTCAAAGAAGCACAGCCTCCTGAGGAGCCTTCAAGCAGAGTCAGGATGCTTACAGCCCTCTATTCTCTCCAGCTGAACTGTCCCTACACTCAAAATAGGATCCAATTCGCTGTCCTCAGGAGCACCTGGCACAGACAGTCTTTTGCCTTTTTGCTTTTAGCAGGGTGTCTGCTACCACCTGTGACATCAGATGTCACTTGTGCAGCTGAAGTGTGGGCACCACCCCCACATGCAACAGGTAGGGCAATGCCTGAGAAACTCCATCACTCAGTGAACAGTGCCAGATAGAGCTGGTTAGAGCAGCCTTTAATCCTGGCAACACTTTTAGCTCTGATATTTGCACAAGTGCCCCTAAAACTGATTTTTTTTCACAGCTGCAATGTCAGAAACCTCAAAGGCATTTTTGATTAGTTTGTTGTGGGAGATTTCAGCAGTACTTCACATCATCTTCTCCTCTATAATGGACAAATCTGGAGCCAATTTCTGGGGTGTAACTTCATACGAAATGTCATTGTAGCTACTAGAGCTTCTGAGACTTCTCAGATGGGTGGCTGACAGGAAGCTGCCTGGTTACATGAGTTTTAACACCTTTCAGCTAACTCTGAGACTCAAATACAACATCTGCTAGAACACACAAGGATGTCATGTGGATTTATGATATTTGCTTGAGGATTCTGGAGCCATAAACCAATGAATGGACTACAATGAGATAAATACAGTATTTCTTGTCTGTCAAAGGCAATTCTGTCCCGATACTTTTCAATGCATTATTTAATTGAAAGCAGTTCCAATTTTGCTCAAGCTAGCAATTTAAAAGTTTAAAAGATAAGCTACATTTCTTTGTTTGACTATACTGTCAAATGCATTTGAAAATGAAATTCCCAATCATGATAATGTTAAGACTGCTCTTTATGTTTGTGGGTTTAAAATGTTAAACCTAATAATACTCCTTTTTTGAAACTGGTCCAATGCTACTTCACTTGAAGTCAATGGGAATTTTGCCAATGACTTAAATGAAATCAAAGTTGGGGACTATATATTAGCTTTAGGACTCCACAGGAGCACAGTACTTTCACTTTGTGAAAATTAAATGTTTCCAACTGCACTGATCTCTCTGATTTTAATTTGCTGCCACATCTCCAAAAATGCATTAAAATGAACACTGACAAAGAGGGAAATATTTCGTTTTATTGCTGCCAGATTCAAAGTTTTAAAGCAACAATATACCCTTGCTTTTTAAAAATTTTTCTTCTTTCCCCCTTCCCAAGACATTTGCATTTCTCGAAGACATGAGACACAGTGCCAATCCTCCAGGCAATTCTCCACACAAGGAGAATTGTGAAGCACAGGTAATGTCTGCAAGTCTTCAGCAAGCCTGTGCACAGCCTGGAAGCCCACCTACACACAGTGACTGAGTAGCTGTAGCTGCTGTAGAGACTCCAAAGTTTTTTTTAAAGACCAATGTCTTTTAAAAAATTATTTAAATATTGATATGTTTTTCTAGTACTTATCTGTCTTGTTTTGTCACAATGGCTCAAAAGGGAGCATAAGAAAAGTTTAAACATTCTGTGGCCAATTCTAACCAAATTGATTAAATAAGCTCATTTTCAGTTATTATGAAATCCTAATAAATTCAGTAGACAGATTAAAGGTGGGCCAGATAGGTTTAACCTGATGTAGAGAATCAATTTTCCTTTCAGCACTCAGTCTTTAGAATGAGCGTTTGATATATCTCACAGAAAATAGTTTCTGCATTTGGACCAGTACTCTATGAACCCAAAGTTATTGCCACCAATTATGGCCTGAAAATGCAAGTAAAAAAGAAGAAAAGCAAGAAAGACATA